AGGCCTACATTACTCTCTGTATTTGTATGCTGTAGTTTAGTAGATATCTAAACAAAGAGTCGATATTTTTCTCAGACCATTTAGTGCTTCACATAATAAAATACACAACGGCTGTAGCCTGATTATGCTTTAGGAGCAGTAGGTGTGTGGTACAGTGTGTAGGTGTGTGTGTGGTACAGTGTGTAGGTGTGTGCAGGGCCGCCCCTCCCTACAGGCCAATCACGCAGGCTGCATGGGGCCCCGCCCAGAGGGCCTCAGCTGCTGTGTGCAGTTCTCCGCTCAGTTCTCCCTGCACCCCCCGTGAGAGTGAGAGGTGACGTCTGTAACCCGACTACGGCTCACAGTCCAAGCCCCTACTGACTGCCATAGATTTAGTCCCTAATTTTGCATTTAACTTCAACATTTAAAAACAAATCTTCCCGGGGGAGCTTGCCCCCGGACCCCCCTAGAGGAGGTGAGGTCCACCACCTGCCCACACCCCCTGTTAAATTGTCTCACCCACATTGAGGATGCTTCCTACGCCCATGTTTTATTCCGTGTGTCAAGTCAGGCAAATTGGTGTCTATATACGCCGGGATCCGGAGTCATGGATGATCCTGCGCTCCTCTGTCCTGGATCGCGAGCCCTGGATCTTGAGTCGTGGCTGTGGTCCTGGATCATAGGCCCTGGATGGATATCCTCGTGGATTCATCTTCCTATTATACACACATGCATTTCCAAACATTTGGCCTACCTATGTTGCAAATGTATTATCTTTTCAATTTACACACGGCATCTATTGCACGTCTGTCCGTCCTGGGAGAGGGATCCCTCCTCTGTTGCTCTCCCTGAGGTTTCTCCCATTTTTCCCTTTAAACTGTGGGTTTTCTTCGGAAGTTTTTCCTTGTACGATGTGAGGGTCTAAGGACAGAGGGTGTCGTATTGTCATACTGATATTTTGTACAAACTGTAAAGTCCACTGAGACAAATGTAACATTTGTGATATTGGGCTATATAAATAAACATTGATTGATTGATTGGGTCAATATATTATTGCATCAATGATCTGTTAACATTAAAATCACTAAATATATGCCATAACTATTTTGCTCTAGGCAACTCAAGGGCTCAGGTCATGTGATTACTATATGAATAATTGTCCAAAATAACATAAAATGCATAGGGTTTTTTGTTAAGTAACATACTTTCGCCGCCGGCCGGCCGATACATGCCGCGCATTAAGTGGGCCTGTCTGTCAATTAATCCCCGGGCCACTTTTTCCCCCCAGTCCGCCCCTGCCTACGGCTCACAGTCCAAGCCCCTACTGACTGCCATAGATTTAGTCCCTAATTTTGCATTTAACTTCAACATTTAAAAACAAATCTTCCCGGGGGAGATTGCCCCCGGACCCCCCTAGAGGAGGTGAGGTCCACCACCTGCCCACACCCCCTGTTAAATTGTCTCACCCACATTGAGGATGCTTCCTACGCCCATGTTTTATTCCGTGTGTCAAGTCAGGCAAATTGGGTCAATATATTATTGCATCAATGATCTGTTAACATTAAAATCACTAAATATATGCCGTAACTATTTTGCTCTAGGCAACTCAAGGGCTCAGGTAATGTGATTACTATATGAATAATTGTCCAAAATAACATAAAATGCATAGGGTTTTTTGTTAAGTAACATACTTTCGCCGCCGGCCGGCCGATACATGCCGCGCATTAAGTGGGCCTGTCTGTCAATTAATCCCCGGGCCACTTTTTCCCCCCAGTCCACCCCTGCCCGACACCGTTGCAATGAATCGACATCTGACCAATCACGGCTTTGATACGGCCACTAGTGCAGGTGAAGAGATGTCGGTGAAAAGACAGTTTCAGTTCGGTGCAAGCAAGAGGGAAAAAAAACAAAACATGAAGAAAATAGAGCATCACTCGAAGGTGGGTTATTGTGTGAGTCAAATGTACAACTTGCGAATGTTGTATAAGTCAAATTGCCATATTAAAACATCAGCTGCAATTCAGGACATGAAGAAGGCAGTCTCTGCATAGCATATAGGCTAATGGAGATGCAGTTATTTCCAGCATTCTTTATTTAACATTCATTCAAGTATGTGATGCCTTTTATCTGCTAATGTACAGGAGGAAGAGTGATACACTGTCTGTCTAGTTGGCTTACATAACAGTTAAAGTTTACAGCCTAAAAAACATGGAGCATTTTTTCCCCTTTTATTCATTTTTATGTCAATTTGCACATTTCATGGTGATGCTCAGCCTCTCCCCTTAACTCCTAACAGTCATCATCATGTCAACCACAACACAGAGAAATACTGATAGAAATGTGTGTGTAGTTGTTGATACATTGCTGACAGAGGGAACTACATTTGAATACAGATTTAAGAAATATCAGTTTTTGAGCATGTCATAAGCATGTTTTGACTTGACTATATTACAACTATATCATAATAAAATAATATAGTATTTATATTATTGAATTGATTATGATTATTATTATTAGTAGAAGTCGTTTATTTTATATTAATTATATTGTAATCTTTTTGAGGCTAGTATTTGGCAGGAAATACAGACGTATTCACCTGTAAACGTATACTGAACAACATACATGCACATTTAACTCACTGTATAAAAAAGTAACTGTTGATAATAATAATAAACAGGAATTATATTTGCAAAGTAGCCTACTTTGTTTCCAAACAGTTGTTTGCACTCCTGTCGGTTGGGGGGGGCCTCATCTCACAATGTCGCTTGGGGCCCCAAGTTGGCAAGGGGCGGCCCTGGGTGTGTGTGTTGTACAGTGCGTAGATGCGGCGGACAGACGGTTCTCAGTTGGTTTGGTGTCCTATGCTTACTTTTAATACTTGTACAACTTTTGGCCCGTAATTTCAATTCCCCATTACAGCGACCAGAGAGAGAGGGGGGGTGGGATATATATCCAGTCTCTGATTGTGTTACGTTATTATGAGAGTGCTCATACTTATTTGATTCTGAAATTGTAGCCTATATATTTATATAAATATATGTGTGTGTATATGTCCGCATCTGTAGCCTGTTATTGTCTCATTATACCGCACTGTGAATGAATCAAAGTAAATATATAAGTGGTCATGAACACATCTGTCCATCAGACAGAGGGCTGCTGTGCCTCCTGTCATCATTAATGGACGTCTCTTTAAAATGACCGCTCAGAGGAGAGGAGTTCTCATTTCTCTAACCGCCTGCTGCTTCCCCTCCTCTCTCCTCGGTTCCCCTCCTCAGTCATCCGCTCGCATCTCCTGTGGGCGGCACCAAGTCTCGAGGAGAGGAGTCGAGGATAGGAGTCGAGGAGGGGAAATTTGAGTATTGAGAAACCTCTCAGGGGATGCATGCAGAGCTGTCATTGGCTGAGATAAGTCCGGCCGTGCGTCACGACTCTTTGAAACATCTCGGTTCCCGGAAATGCATCCATGAAGGAGCCGTGGAGGACCCATCAGTGTATCCTCGATCATAGCTCCTCCAGAGAGCCTCCTTGACGCTCGATCCTCGGTCCTCGAAGTGCATTTAGAGAAATGAGATGTCCTTCAACATGGCGCACTGAAATTCATTTCCGGGTCACTACCGGAGGACCGAGGAGTTGAGGAGGGGGATTTGATGAAATGAGAAAGGGCCTGGATGATTCCGGCTTTTCTATATCTAAGAATCTACCCCTTCACAACCCCCACCCAAACCCCTTTTTAAAATAAAACCCCTATGAGTAACTATATCTGAACATCGCTACACTCACTGTGTGATAACAAGAAACATAGAATCCTATTTTAAATAAAAGCTCTCTAGTTCAACTCTTGTCAGAGCTTAGACCTTAGTTTGTGTTTTTCCTTCCAAAATTCCAACAAAGATAATTATTGGGAACCTCAACTCTTCTCAGTGCACTTCAACTCATTTGTGTAAAAAATCCAATTAGAACTTCTTTTGATGCTTATTCTTTTTCTGTATGCTTCATCCCTTCAACACATTGCTTCCACTACTTCTCATGCATGTTCAACTTTTATCTTCTGATTCATAATCAATGTAATCCTTTACATTTTCACATCTTAAATTCATTAGCCGTTTTATACACATTTCAAACATTATGGGTATATTCATATTTTAAATAGGCTAGCATTAATGATAATTGAGCCCATTCACTCACCTACTCCTACTGATCTACCCTCTTCTTACATTCAAGCCGGATACAGTGCAGTGTCAGCTTTTCAAATCATTTAAGCTTTAACACTTTCCAGGCAAGTCATTTCACATTCCTGCTTTTTTAGCTTAGCTTTGCAAAAATGTTTAGCTCTTAGCAGGAAATGCATGTTCTAGTTTACTACATTGTGAGTAGTCAAATTATACATTTAGATTACTTTCATTGATAACTTATTGTTAATTGAAATAAGACATTCCCCTTAATATAGCTGTGCGTCTGGTGTTATATGTCATCTGTATTCATGTGACCCAAGAGATATAAGGGGAGTTTCAAAATCCCACACACAAATGCAGTGACAAGCAGTGTGTAAACGCAGGTTCCACAGTTTGTAGTATAAATATGTAACAACAACCGATATGTTTCGAATTATGCTACTTTACACACATTTAGTTGTGGATTTCTATTATATATAATATATATATTATAATTATTGTATCATTATAAATGTATATTATTATCTACAACAACAAAAAAAGTGTGGTTGCATCAGATATAGACTATGAACCTTCTATTTTATTATACGTGGACCTTTGATGTCATTTTACCTTCACATGACCTTCACCCACCCCGCTGTCATTCTACAAACTGTTTCCTTATTTGCAGCCTCTGTGCGCTGTGCTAATACGTCTTTATAATGACAGGTACCTGGAGCCGGATAGCCCATTTTGGGCAGTGCATTTGGGCAGATTTAATCCCAGTGCCACCAAACTGGACCAATCAGCCCCAGGCTGGACGAACTGTCACACTGTAGAACGAAAGGGGCGTACGCGTGCACGGACTGCATGGCGCGGTCACGCGATCAAATCTGCTGTCACGAGCCTTATCCAAGCAACGGAGTGGAGGCTGGAGAATTAGAACGGACATCAATTATACACCACATTTCAGTTACCAAATTGAGTGTGTGGTTAAGAGAGCCGGGCTTTAAATTCGTATTGCAAGTTGGCACTTGAGAGCGTCTACGTAGTTATCCCGGACAACCGGTGATGTATCCCAGTATTTGAATGATATTGGTAGACAGCTAGCTAGCTGTTAGGCTAGCTATACGGCGCTTCACTTCGAAGTAACTCAACGTTATATTCTGTGACGTTTGTTCTACTAACACATCTGACTGCATGTATCTGCGAGACACCCAAGTAGTGTGGGGTTTTACCTTTTGTGAATCGTTACAGTAGATGGTATATGCGTCGCCTCTATGTAGGTAAGGATTGAATGAAATAACGTTAGCTTGCCATAGCCAGCGGAAACGAGCCAGTTAACGGGGATAACGCTAATTTATCCTCCAGCACCATCCAGCTAATCTAGTGTATGCTATCTGAGCTAACATAGCCTGCCACAGGCATACCGCGAGCTTCGTCAGCAACACTGAATGATATAGGTGTAGCGAGCAACTGGAATTGCTGAAAAGCTAGCTACTACTAAACGTCAAGTTGGCCATATTCGACTCCAGTCCGGTGTAAAGGCTGAGCGACGTCAGATACAGTTAAGGCCGGAGTGAGGACAAATCTGCAAACATGCCGGCTGTGTCGAAAGGAGATGGAATGCGCGGATTAGCAGTTTTCATTTCCGACATAAGAAACTGTAAGTGGCATTTTCTATCGTTCCTGTAACTGATGTGTGTCGTTCATCAGTTAACCCATTCCTTTTTTTTTACATGTGTTGTATTAACGTGGTGGGCACCACAGCAAAGAGACGCTAACTAAATGTACACAACACATCCTCCTCGATGTGAGGCTGACATGTCTGTGTAACGCACCTGCTGCAACAGAACCATGGCTACGATACATGCAGAACACGAATCCTCGTCTGTGTTAGTAGCTGCTTTGGTCACACTGCAGTGTATATGTCATTATTTTAAACTGACAGCATGACAGTTCATACAGTAACAATGGCTTTCAGTTTGAGGATTATAATAGATAGGAAGGACAGCTGAATCTTAACCTGAAGACCCTGCCATCATCTATAACTGGCACAATCGACAGGGCACCATGAAATAAACATATGCTATTTTCAAAACGTCGATTATGTTTTGTTAAATGTTTGCATACATTTGCAACTTTATTGTATAGATTTTTGCTTTTTAAAATGGTGATATTGACGACTAACGACATTAGTCAAAAGGAGCTATAGGCTAAACGCAAATAAGATAATAAATGAAATTACTGATAACAGTTTCCGACTTCTAATATTGATATAATAACATTTTGTATGATAACATATTTCATCGTGGTATGTGTAATTAGTATATAATTCATTCACATGTATACAAAATTGTCTAGGAGCTAACAGAGACAGAAAGGAATGTCTATGTAAAGCTCATCCATTGAATGAAATGCTTCACAAATCAAAGTAATTTGGTAAGAGTTATATTATATGTTGTATGGGAACAATCTGTTGACAGGTGACAAATATATTCAGCCTCAGTATATAACATTATGTCACAAAAGACTATGCAAATCAGTGAGGAAAAATCTAAAGTTTTGATCATTAGACTGGTTTAATAAATGCAGTTTTCTGCTAACCTGGAAACAGATCCAAAATGGAACTCATCCCTACATCTGCCATTGCTCTACTACTCTATACAGTTTTTACTGTAACTGCCTTCCATAATACCTCTAACAATGCACCCAGTAATTATTTGATGAAGCATTAAACAATTGGCTTAGCTAAGAAATACAAACCCGTACTTTCCCTTCCAAGCCTTGTAGCTTTTTGGCTTTCACAGTATTATATAAACAATTGTGTTTTGATGCCAGTTCACAAGGTATGTTTTTATTTGGTTACTAGATGGACTGGGAATGGCTCTAATGGAGATTTGAATAATGTTTGATGTTTTAAAGGTCCCATGTCATGGCTATTTCTACTGATCATAATTCCATTGTTGAGGTCTACTAAAATAGATTTACATTGTGCAATGTTCCAAACTCACATTGGTTTCTCATACAGCATCTCTGTATAGTATGTGTATTCACTCTCTGTCCTACACGCCTTGTTGGAGCTCCTCCCCCCCCCTCCCTGTGAGCCCAGTGGCCGTCTGCTAGACAGCGAGACACAGCGAAAACCAGCCCGAAACACACACACACCCGCAGCCTGGCTGAGAGTTTGTGTGTGTGCTCAGGCTGAGTTCTGCGGTGTCTCGCTGACCCCACACCAGTGAGCCAACTCACACTGTCCGCTCCTCGCAGCAGCAAGCCTCGCAACGTCCCGCCGAGTGTGTGTGTGTGTGTGTGTGTGTGTGAGTGAGGAAGTCCACGGATTGGTCCAAACGTAACGCAGGGCTCTCGACTAACTTTTTTCACCATCCTCCCGGAACCGTCCCGAAATACAATCTAAGCCGTCCCGAAATTAATGTGGACTGTCCCGAATTTAAAACATTCGTTTTTCTACATTATCATTAGTTAAAATCATTCAAAGTGACCTTTAACATAAATAAAACATCATACAAATCTAGATGATAATTCATCAACCTTTTTATTTGAGTAAATCATTCAATCACAGAAACAAAGGCCAAATATATTTAAAAAAAACACACAAACGAGAAAGTTACTCTAATATTGACTCCAATCAAGTCCCATCCAATTAACAAAACAATCCAACACTCTGTCCTGAAGACAGAACCCAGAGTAACCACTAACCAGGATGACAGTCTGTCAGTCAGGAGACCTTTACAAACGGCCCCGCCCCCTCGCACACAGACGGGAGAGAGAGATCTCGTCTGGATTGGAAAGATCGAAAATACATCATAGACGCATGTTGTAGTCTTATTGCATATTAGAAACGGAGTTGGCGAAACTAAAACTGCGATATAATGTTTATGTAGCAATAATACATATGACATATATTTTTTAAATGTCTCCAGTATAGAGATGTTAAGATTCACCGATTCGCATCGGTGCACCGGCATAAACGTTCAAGATGCGAGTGCACCGGTTGAAAGAGTGCACATCGGCTACAGTTTGGGTTGAACCGAGTTGAACTCGCGATGCATCGATTGCGTACCGTCTTTGCATCGGTAAAAAAACGATTCATTCATATAAAATCCCCTCATCTTGTCAACGCTCAGCAGAGACGATCTTTGATATTTGCTTCGCCACTACAGAGGCCGAGAGTCTCTGTTATCAACACACACACGGAAGTTGAGGGGAAAGAGAAACACAGCGCACCGAAAAATACCTACAAATCAAACGTTTGGCAACACTTCGGATTGTTCAAGAAAGACGGTGTAATAGTCCTTTATGCTACATAGTTGACCGCAGGTCATGGAGAGTAATAAGGTATCCGTAGACCTTTGTATGAGGTATCTTTATTACTTAACAGGTCTACAGCCATGATACATAGATCCGTCCTAGATGCGGGCTTGCATACACACAGTATCACTCCGCAGCCGCACCCCATCAGTAACGTCCTGATGGTATATGTGCGCGGCACTATATACTACAGACGGTCAACTTGAAAAATAGCTCGCAAATTGTTAACGATGCCGAGCCGCTTTAAAGTACACAAGTAGTACGAGGAAATTAGCGACGCACATAAAGAGGCGACATGGGGTCTGCGGCTGAAAAGAGAAACCTGAAAGTTAGACATACGAGTTAAATCACTCAGTGAGGTGTTCTGTCAGAGAGAGTGGTGTTTAGTTTACAGCAGCCTGTGACGGCCAATAATAGTTTAAATGTCTTCCTTACTGTAAGCAGTTATGAAATACCTGTTTGTGAAAGGTTATTTGTATTCTTCATTGTTCATATAGAAGCCACTGCTTTCTGCTCACTGGTGAGTTAGCCTATGAATGAGTGTTAAGCACATCAGGCTGGCAGCTGTATGGGCATTGCACTATGGTAGCTGTTATTTTCACATTGTTAATCATGAGCAATGCATCCTTACATTGTTTAACTGTGAGGTGTTATACAATTGTACTCTGGAGAGCTTTTAAAGGTAACAAAATAAACGGCATGGTGGGATGTGCAGTACCAAATATGTAAAGCACTTTTTTGTTAATGTATGATTTGCTGCATATAAGGAATAAAACAAAAATCCTCTGTCGTACCATATTGAAGTATCATTATTTTTGCATGGTGTTGAATCGCATAATGTTGAATCAAATCGTATCGAACTGTATCGCAACAGGGGTGAATCGTATCGTATCGCATCGCCTGGTGTTTCAAATGTATCGTTAATGTATCGTATCGTGGCAACGTATCGAGATGCGCATCGCATCGGCCTCAGTGACGGAGATGCACATCCCTACTCCAGTACTATAACGTCGGAGCTTAACGGTACCACGTTCTTTAATAATTCCGGCCCGGGGCCCGTTTGATGCCCTTAAGCTCGAGCCCTGCGTAACGGCTCTGTGGACGTAACATAACGTCACTATAGGGCGGCACGATATTGGAAAAAACTGACATTGCGATTTCCCCCCCCCCCCCTGCGATATGAAAACATACAGGAATTGAAGAAAAGACAGTTTTTTTTTCCCCCGCAAACCATCCTTTCTTGAACTTTAATGCTATACAATTGGTATTTTTTTAACTATACATAACCGGATGAAGGATTTTAGTCACGGACGTCTGGATCTTAAAGGGGACCTATCATGTAAAATGCACTTTTGTACGTCTTTTATACATGAATATGTGTCCCCGGTGTGTCAGGGAACTCACCAAGTGTCAGAAAACACAACCCTCTATTTTCCTCCATACCCAAATCTCTAAAAACAGGGCTGCAACGGATCTGATACAGACTGATCCAGATTTGAATTATTTTCTACGTCACAGAAGTGGTGCTCTGCCTATATGGCCAACTCTCCACCTATCAGGGGAATGAGAGGTTGGGCCACCGCCGGCCATTGCTGCTTGAAAGCGCTGGAGACGCTGTAGTACATATGCCAGGCCTGTAAGTGGCGCTGTAGTCTGCCAAAAAAGCAGCGAAGAAGACTTCCCGCGCATGGTTGCCATGGTTGCCCTTCTGTTTATTCTCCGCTGTGGCTCTTTTTCTCCCTCCCTGAGGCAAGCGTTTGCTCCTGCTGCTGTAATTCAATGCAATCCCTCCCCGTCGAGGCAAGCGCTGTAATTCTCTCCGGTTAGTCCACCAGCAGATGACAAACACCCACCTCTCCGCCTCTTCCAAGGACTGTTCGGCAGAGTTTCAGTTCGATGTTTTTTCGCCGGTCAACATGTCCGTTAAAGTTTAAATCTTCCGGACAAAATTAGAAAAGTGCCGGTCAAAGGTTTTCTTTGTTATTTATTGAGCTTTAAAACAAATGAATAACGACTCTATATAATCATATAAGAATAAAACACGGAGGACGGCGCCTCTCTTTTCCTCCCCCTCTTCTCCCCGTTGCAGCCTAGCAGCTGATCTCAGAGCACGCTCCCCTCTCCTGCAGGGGAGCGTGGTCAGCTGCAGCTCACAGAATCAGCCCCCTGCAAAAACAGAGCTGGAAAGAGCATATAGAGCGAAATGAGGAATGGCTAAAATGCAGGATCTGTTTGGTATTTTGAAAAAAACAACTATATTTATATACTTTATATAGGTATGGCCCAACAATATATTGTTCAAATATAGCATGATAGGTCACCTTTAAGTTATCAGAGCAACAAGCTGAGCTAGCTCGGTTAGCAGCGCCGAACTGCCTGCCTGGAGAAACACATGAAACTACTTTATTTAGTGTTTTTACCTTTAATCACCGGGTCCGTTTGCTTTGGAGATTTGATTGTGATTGGTGGTTTGCTGTGCATGCACATGAGAGCCGCGCATGTTTTACTTTTGTAGCAAGCAGCAAAATGATTGTAACATGACGTGTTTGAGTTAATTTGCCTACTTAATATCGCAAGTCCTAAAAAATTAAATAAAAATCGCACGTCCACGCGATTTGAATATCGCGCATGCGCATATCGCGATTATCGTCACGACACGATATATCGTACAGCCCTACGTCACTATACCCAAATACGTCACTATACCCAAGAAGAAAACAATGGAAAAAGATAAATGTCCAACGAGGCGTTCTGGGGCAGCATAGACGGGTCTTTTCTGTGTTAGAGTTTTACTCGCTACAGGGTGTACTTTGAGGGTTTGTGACTCTGCAGACCGTTTACATGCAGAAAAACCTTCATAACACACAAGGGGACGGGTAATAACCGGAAAAGCATGACATGGGACCTTTAAAGTGATCCCTCAGGCCTGAGAAATGTCCATGACAATTTTCAATTGCTAAGCAATTAGTTATTTATTTCTCATTCAATGGTATTGAGTTTCACTAGTTTGAAAGAATTGTATTGAAGTTGATATTATCTGTTTTGTTACAACATTAATACAAAATCATTTTGACTTGTATATCCCCAAATAATGAATTGCCCTGAAAATCCTGCTTTTTAACTTTATCTACATGGAAGCTGGCTTCTCACTCCAGAGGTCATTAGACATACCGTTTTCATTTGTATTATCTGCTTATGCTTCGAAATATTGAATTTTGCTTTTTTCAGAGGTTTAACACAGTAAGCATGCTTCTTATTTCCCAAAATGTATTTCTGATTGGTGCAAATTGAGGTGTTACTATTAGGGATGCACGATATTGGTTTTTTGAAACCGATACCGATAACTTCCTGCTTCTCAAGACTGATACCGATAACCGATAATAATATAATATATATATATATATTAAATGTACCTGTAGTTTTTGCACACCTGGTGGTAAAAAAAAGACTAGTAGTGAGCAAATGACATGAGCATTACTACTATGAACAAAACAAAGCCAAGAACAGTTTTGACTCTTCAAAGTGACCATATTTATTATTTTTTTTTGAGTATTGCCTTTTTCAAAAGCCTCGTCGATAGGTAAAAGCCCCGGTGCCTTTGCAGCTGGCTTTGGATTCGCCGCTAGTTTAGCAGCGCAGGCGTCTTCGTACGCTTTTAACACACCATCGTAGCGATGGCGATGTTTCAGGTGACTAATCAGGTTGGAAGTATTATAGCTCGTTGCCTTTTTCCCTCCTCGTGGAACTTCTGCATTGCATTTGTTAATACAAATAGCAAGCGAACTATCTAACTCTGAAACTTTGAAATAGTCCCATACTACCGGCGACATGTTTGTTTACTGTCCTGGCTTCACGGCCGCACACCATTTACGTCACAGCCAGGCATGAGTTAGGTGTGAAAAACTCCTCTCTTCCTAAACCACTTATACCACAGTACTGGCAAAACGGGAGGAGCCGAGTGAAAAACAAGCGCCCCTCATCCCAATCCACCCACACCGCAGTATTTTTTTCTTTTTTTTTACCCAAAAAATATATTTTATATTATCGGGGCTATTAATACTTTTATCGGGATGACGTCATAATTCCTAATATCGAACCGATAATTATCGGGCCGATAATTATCGTGCACCACTAGTTACTATTGCCCCCCATTTTCCCAAATGTATCTGTACCACTAAAACTTGCAAAAGTGATACAAGGTCCAATAATGTTGCACATTATATAGTGTTTGTCAAGCAGGTGATTTGCTTTCACTTGCTGCAGGCGAATGCCTGCAGCAAGTGTTTTAAGTGAGTATGGCGTACGTATACAACTTGAGTTGCAACAGCAGAGTAATGCACCAGGGAAGTGAAGAAGAGTTCAGTAAGGCTAGATCAACATGTTGCCTACGTTAAAGTCAGATTTGAACGCACCACCAAGACCAAAGCTAATAGCTAATCAGCACGTACATTCTGATCCAGTGTGGGAGGAAATACCTCTCCATACCAGCTGTCGGCGGTAGTCTGTGCTTGTTATAAAAAGGGAAACTAGAAAACATAGGACTTCAACACGTGTTTTTTTTACGATACATTTATTATAACGAAGTGGAGTCTGCTCACTACTTATAGCTTTATATCAGATAGCCATGTTGTTGTTAAATATTTGTATCTCGTACTTTATTGACTTTAGTAATTTCAACGTTTCCCCATATCTGTTCTGTTCATGTGCACTGATTTAAGCTAACTCGTAACTCTAATGCAGACTGTATGGTGTTTTTTCATATTATTTATTTAATTGTAATTGAAAATATAAATTACAGGTGTGTTGAGCATGATATTGGCTCTGTAGGAATATGCCTGCTCGTTGCTATGAGCAATTAGTACGTGCATGTTGCTTGGTATAGAAACTAGGGATGCTCCGATCGCCGGAATCAGTATCGGCCGATGCCGATCCGATCGAGTGGGCGGGGCCTAAATGGAAGATTTAAACATCACTTTAAATCGTCCATTTAAAGTGATGTTTAAAACTCAGTTAATGGGGCTCATTCACTGGAGCTTCCACAAACAACAATCAACTTAATTATTACATTCAAATTATGTACATTATTCAAGTTTACATTCACTTTGGATAATAACACGGGAGAAATGAGCGGAAGCGCTCTCTTTTCCTCTCTCTCTCTCTCCCCCCCCTCTCTCCCCCTCTCTCCCTCTCCTGACAGTCTGTCAGTATCTCATGCAGCTCACTGATCCAGTAATGAGTGACCCGACAGTGAAGAATAAATATATGTATAACTAGTTTAGCTTGTTCCAGAGGTAGATAAAATAGCTAAGTGTGTTAGGTCTAACTCTTGTGTGTTGCTCCGCTCACCGGTCCGTCTCAGTGGGCGGAGCTGCAAGATTTCTGCTTCACACACGTTGCATACCGCTATTTTACTATCTTTTTCGGACACCTTAAAATACTGCCAGACCGGTGAAGCTATTTTGGCGAGCTTGTTTTGCCGCACCCAGAGAAAAGTGTCATGTATTTTACGTCATGCGATCGGCTCTCGCGGTCGGCTCTCGCGATCGGCATATTTAGAGAGCGACCGATCGATCGGAGCATCCCTACTAGAAACACAGGTGACTTAATGCAGTTGATACAGCTGAGGTGCTCCATCATCCATACTGTATTAGTGAAGAAGGGATGAGAACGTCCTTCTTGTCCACTTTTGAATGCTGATTTTGCACAACTTTCTTTCCCCTGTCAGGTAAGAGCAAGGAAGCTGAGATCAAACGGATCAATAAAGAGCTGGCCAACATTCGCTCCAAGTTTAAAGGGGACAAGGCTCTTGATGGCTACAGCAAGAAGAAATATGTCTGCAAGCTGCTCTTCATCTTCCTGCTCGGCCATGACATTGACTTTGGACACATGGAGGCGGTCAACCTACTGAGCTCCAATAAGTACACAGAGAAACAGATTGTAAGTCTGCTGCTGCTTGTGTTATGTGTTTACAGCATTGATTGATAGTTTTGTACACGATTATCCAAGTTCACTCTAAGACCCTCTTTACACCTGAACAAGTGAACAGCTCTAGAGGTGCATTCACACCGGACACGAAGCAAATGTTCACATTGCATTACTCACGTGAGTCTGACCGCGGTGTTTACTCGGGTGGCTCAAACTAAAAGCACCAACGAGGAGGCAGGGCTCATGTCTATGTAGATACGGTTGTAAATACCAACAACAAAATGAACATATTTTACAGTAATTTAATTGCAATACACATATCAAAATGATGGCGTCACTACATCCTGATTAGTAAGAACCATGAATTAATAATTGGGCGAGTGTGTCCGCAAGACGGCGGCAAAAAACGTTTAAAATGCCTGCTTTCTGAATGGAGATCACATCCATCAGGCTAAGCTAATATGTAGCTGCTATGTCCACACTCACAACAACATAATTATTTGCCATGCCATAGACATTCTGTGATTTGTACACACAGTTATCATACATTCAACATACACATTTTCTCCAATTTCTATTTTCTTCAATATGAGTAACTGTTAGCTCTGTGTGCCGTTGCCCCTAGCCAAGTACGTCAGCGTCAGATTTGTATTTTCATTAGTGCGAATGCTGTTTACATTTGGTTGTTTATACCTTTTTTAAACCTTTTCTTTTAAATATTAAGCTTCTTCACTATTTTTCATACTCTTCCATTTTAACATTTCACTTCCAATTTTCCAACAAAGTCAATGCAATGCATTTGAGCTTCAACCATTTTGATTCAAATCATTTCACTTTTCTGCATTTCTCCGCCAAGTTCAGCAACAAATGTACACAGTTTACATCATTCACACGCATTTTCAGCAGGAAATGCATTTTCTAGTTTTAACATGCAACTCAATGGGTGGAACCTTTTAAATCCTCTTTTAACTACACCGTGCGCCAAATGCTACTCCTTCCACATACTTTCAGCTAGAGACATCATTCCAACTTTAAAATGACAGGGCTCGACAGTAGCCAGGTTGCCATTGGCAACCTTTCAGAAAAAATGTCAACCACTTTTTGGCCTTTGGTTGCCATCAGTGGCAACCAGTTTTTAATTAAAGAAATAAGGACAGCAAACAGCAAAATGTGCACCCCAAAATAGGTAAATGTTAATTATTTGTTGCACTAAGAGTGATATTTAATTATTGTTGTGACCAGTCGGAACCTGATACTTAAGTTCCACGTGCATTGGTGTAATTACGGAGCCAGAAAGCGATGCACGTTTACTCGCGTGCGCCTTGTGTTCGTTTTACAAAAAATGGCGAAGCAAATTAAGTTGTTTGACTGTGGGGTAAAAAGTTCTGCCAACCCGTCAACATCTCAAACAAATGTTCAAAGTGAGTCAACTGAAAAAGCGCAAGATGAACCCGAACGAAAAGCAAAGAGGAAATGGGTAAAGTTCCTTCAAAATAAGAGTCCAGATCTTATTACTACCAAAATAAAAGTGCGAAACTTTACCATAGGAAAATATTCTATAAAAAGGTAACACATTTTAAATATAGTTAGACATATTAAAGGTGGGGTAGGTAATTTTGGAGAAACCAGCTCGAGTGCGCTAGAACTTGAAAATCTGCCACTTCCTCACAGAGCCCCTCCTCCAACACACACGAACACGCCCATGACCAATGAGGGCACGAGATAAGTTTGTGCACAGATGGAAGGCTGACAGGCAGGTAGGCCATCCAGTGACTTTAGCCGTGCCGGCTCAAATGATTGGTCGTGCTTTTTACAGTACTACGGCTTCCACAGATGACGTTTTTTTATGGATTTGTTGTCAAAGCACTTCAGATATTCATTGCTATCGGGATGTTAAGAGCATTCCATGGAATATAACAAAAAGTGTATCTCGAGCCGGTTTCTCAAACTTACCTACGCCACCTTTAAAGGTAATTTACAGCATCAGTAATTAATATCTAATTCTTAACTGTGAATGGTTTTCATTTATTTAACATTAGAAATGTATTAGTCTGGCCAATCCAAGACTTCAATGCTGAAGGGCCAGTGGATCTATGGTGGGGATCAGCACAAAGGTCAAGACTTCAATGCTGAAGGGCCAATGGATCTATGGTGGGGGTCAGCACAAAGGTCAAGAAAACCCACATTTGAAAGGGAGACAGCGGATGACCAAGAAACTAGTGACTTGCTCAATTCATTTGGTGAGGGATCTGTGAAGAACATGACAACAGCTGCACTACTGGTATTTTGTATATCAGCAATTGAGGGTGGACAAGTTTACTACCATGCACTTAAGTTTCAAATAATTGTGTTAATTACTTATTGTAAAGGATTTGAACATTCTTTTGTGTCACATGTTCATTATTAAGTTGATGTATAACTGTATAGTATCTTAATTATTTAAAATATAAGGTGACTAAAAATGGCAACCGTTTTTTCAGTTTTGGCAACCAAAAGCTGATGCCTGGTTGCCAGCCTGGCAACCACTTTTAAAAGTTAGCGTTGAGCCCTGAATGATCACAAGACCTTCAGCTGTAAAACTTGTTATTCAGATTTGTTATATCTTTTACACTTTTTGAGATATTTAACTTAGTTTGGAGCTTGGTAAAGAGGCTTTCTTCAGATGTTAACATTAGTGTGTATTGTGCAGCTCGTTAAGGCTTAAGGCCCTGACACACCAAGCAGTCACCAGAGAACTCGCCAAAGCCGACTGTTTCGTTGCCGTGTTCTCCTGCATCTTGGCCATGTGTCGCACTGGAACACACCGCAAAGACTTCAGCCGAGCACGTAGGAACTGCACATGCGTGAGTGGCAATAACTCTCCATACCAGCAGGCGGCGGTAGTGTGTATTAGTCATTCAAAAGAGGCAACAACCGGAAGACAGAGAAGAAGAACAGACTACGTGATATAAACAAACAACAAATAGCGTGTTCGTTCCATTTTCACTCTCGTCCATCGAAAACATGTTTCGTGCAGTACTGGAGCTATCAGCCATTGGAGTGTTGCTTGTGGAAGACATTCTCAAGCAACCGTTTCGCTTCTCACGCACTGATTCGCTAGCTGCACAGCCAATCAGAGTGATTTCTTTGTCCGACTGCCTGTGAATCGGCCGTGCGTCGGCCCAAATAAGGCGTGTCACTGCCGACGGTGCGGGACACACCAAATTGAGTTTGGCCGATAGGGCACGCTTCGTCGTCCGACTAACTAAAACGGCAGATTTCGGCCTGGTGTGTCAGGGCCTTTAGAGTGCGTGATGTCACAGCTAAAGTCAGCTTGAAATTCGCCTTACATTTTTTTTTTAACTGCCATAATTCCCAAACCCTACACTCCTGGGACAATGCTTGAATTGTAGGGAGACATCTCTTAGCTTGAAAAATAAATAAAAAATTAAGCAAACAATTGAAAGTACATAAAAAACAGACGCAGATGCTCGTAAGGGTCCTGAGACGTGTTGACATTTCACCGATATCTGCTACGGTTCTTCAACAAAACGTTCACATGTAAGAGGTTTATCTCTCATTCAGATCAATGGAAAGGCTCTCCTCTCACTGATCACCATGGAAACCTTTGATCTCTGGGCTCAAGCACAGGTGTTTCATAACGTCTGCTCAGAATGCCACCAAACATCACATGATGGTTAACACTGTGGCCCTGAACAGCTCTACGTCAAATCTGATGTTACATAATGTGGTGTTACCATGGAAAAGCGCATCCCTCGCCATAAAACACGATGTCGCTGTAACTCCAATTGACACGGTCCGATCGTCCCCCAATTTTCACTTGTATATCATCGGTCCATGCCTCAACAGCTCTAAGTTCAATCTGATATCTCACCATATGCCGTTTCCATGGAAACGCATCCCTCGCCAAAAAACACGATGTCGTCTATGAAAAGGGTCAAAACCGCACCAGACTTCAGATAATGGTTAATGGTCCAGCCCTCAACATGTCTATGTGCCAATAGTCAGTTTTCCTCAAAAGCTGTTGCCATGGCAACGAATCCCTCGCCATAAAACACGATATTGCTATAACTCCTATGAAAATGGTCAAAGTGCTCAAACTTCACATGTGTGCTAACAGTCCAGCCGTGAAGACATCTACGTGACAGTTTTGAGATTTCTTCAAATGCCGTTGCCATGGCAACACAATGCTCACCATGAAACACGGTTTTCTCATAACTTCAGTGAAAATGCTCCAAACGGCCCAGAACTTCACAGGTTTGGTAACGATCAACACATCTAAGCGTATTATGGGGTTTCATCAAATGTCGTTGCCATGGCGACAGATCAAGTTAGTTCAAAAGTTTGCAGTTAAAATATTCTGCTGCTTTCCAAAGCCTTTTTACTTTCTTTTCTCTTCTTAATACACATTCATTCACTACTACTTACATTTAATATCTAACTCCTTCAGCCTACTTTCAGCTACAGAAACAATTCAACTATTACATTATTCAACTATTACAGGACATTGAGGCTATACATTTTTGTTGTTTATATCTTTTAAAACATTTTCTTTTAAATATTAAGCTTCTTCACTATTTTTCCTACTTTTCCAGTTTAACATTTCACTTTCAAGTTTTCAACAAAGTCATTGCATTTGAGCTGTAACAATTTTGATTCAAATAATTTCATTTTTCTGCATTTCTCCGCTAAGTTCAGCAACATGCATACTTGGTTTTTGTAGCTAAAAGCAGCTACAGAGACCATTCAACTAATAACATATTCAGCTTGTTCTACATTTTCAGCTAAATTCAGCAACAAATGTACACAGTTTACAGCAGGGGTCGGCAACCCCTGGCATGCGTGCCACCATTGGCACGCGGCACTGTAACCAGTGGCACACTAGGAATAAGTGGGCAAAATATTAAAATTTTATTTTCGGATCCTGAACGAGACCGCCGCCAGAGCGCGTCTCCCCGTTACCTGCAGAAGGAAGCCATGCACGCAACGCAGCCCCACTCTCTTTAACTCCG